CACACACACACACACACACACACACACACACACACACACACACACACACACATATATACCACTTGGAGTACATCTTGTTTTTTCTGTGGTCGATGTGTTTAAGCCGTCAGCTGTTTTCCGTGTCAAGATAAGGGATCAGGAAACTGAGCTGTTCACAGGAAGTTACCATAGTCTAAAACATTTAAGATTTGATTTAGGATAACAACCAAAACCTAGGGCTAGAAAAACTGACCTCAAACAGTCAGATCATTTCTTTAAAAACAAATTGAAGGTATTCTATGGAAATCTCAGTTCAGGAACAAAAAAAAAAGGAAGTAAAACCTTTTCGTTTGTATTCATAGCTCAGACTTTACTGACAGGGCGTTTGTGTTGCAACACATTAACTTCTCAGTTGTACTTTGACCAATGAGTCACTTCCTTTTGCTTGTTGACAATAAAAAATATTTTTACATCATGATGTTGCGACATCTTTTAAACTCAATGTGACAACTGAAAAGTTTAAAGACCTAACAGTCTTGAGATTGTGCTCTTTAATTTCATCCCTTGAAATAAACCTTACAGAAGTTAAGGTTTGGCTCGTGTTGATGTTCACGAGGACGCTGCAAGAGTTGATTCATCCGAGAACTGAGACTGTTGAGTTTTAGCTTGGAACAAATGAACAAAAGAAGCAACAAAAGGGTTTTCAATGACAACTAACCAGTAAGAGATTTCCATGAAGGTAAATCACAGGTAAAACTGTTGGTGCTATAGATCAGATGACCATCTTCTAAAGGCTTCCATAGTTAAACCGGTTTTAAAAATAAATAGAAAAAAATGTCAGCAAGAGATGTTACTAACGTGGGAAAAGTTGCTGAGTCATGATAAAATGGTCCCTGCATGAGCTCTTCAGAGGAAGTGAGACGTTTGTGTAAACAGACCTTGAAGATAAGATTGTATCTCTGAAGTTCAACCAAACTAGAAGAAAAATTAAAACCGTCGAGTCTGATCATCTTTCTACACCTGATTAACTGATTATTCTTGTTGCTTCCTTTAAAAGCCTTCTAAAGTATCTGATGCTGGAGGATCAGTATTTATACTTGGTCACGTGTCTAACCACCAACTGCTTCACCGCAACTTTACCAAAATCCTCTTCCTCAAAACCCAAAAGGTCTGTTCTGAACGTAGAGCAGCCATTTGTTGAAGTTTTCTGTTTGAGCCGAGTCGTCGGTCCTACTCTAAGTCGTGGGACAGAAATACAGACTAATGTTGACTGGACTGATGAGCAAATGGCTAGTCTGAGCAGGGCTGAGATCTAAATGGATTGCTGTTTTATTAGCTGTTAAAAAAACTGTTTTCTAAACCTTATCATAGCTGCTAAGTTTGAATTACAAGATTGTCCTGATGCATGTCAGTAATCCAGGTAAAAAAAATCAAAAAGAAAAAAAAAGTATGTCCTCTGGACAGGTTCTTGGGAGAAAGAGAAATCACACACAAGACAGGCCCTGGAGCAGTGTGGTTATCCCAACTGGGCTTTTCTGAAAGCAGACAGGAAACACAGACAGGATTCCAGCCAACAACCAGCTGAAAATGAAGACCCTAAACCCAGACCAGTCATTATTCCGTATATGGCGGGAGTTTCAGAGAAACTGAGACGTTTATTCTCTAAACATGACGTCCCAGTGGCTTTCAAACCCCAACAAAGACTGGTTCACCCCAAAGATCCAGTTCCCTGGCAGAGAGTAATATTGTGTATGCTGTTAAGTGTCAGGAGGACTGTGATCAGTTATGCATTGGGGAAACAAAACAGCCACTGTTCAAAAGAATGAGCCAACACAGACGAGCAATTCATCAGACCAGGACTCTGCAGTTTACACTCATCTACAGGTCAGGACTCTGCAGTTTACACTCATCTACAGGTCAGGACTCTGCAGTTTACACTMATCTACAGGTCAGGACTCTGCAGTTTAYACTMATCTACAGGTCAGGACTCTGCAGTTTACACTCATYTACAGGTCAGGACTCTGCAGTTTACACTCATCTACAGGTCAGGACTCTGCAGTTTACACTCATCTACAGGTCAGCGGTCACTCTTTCAGGGATGAAGATGTTCTCATCCTTGATAGAGAGGAATGTTGGTTTGAGAGAGGAGGAAAGGAAGCCATCTTTGTGAAGAAAAAACGTCCACCATTAAACAGAGGTGAAGGCCTTCGTGTCCAGTTGTCCTCCTCCTACAACGCTGTTATTACAAGTATGATTCCGCCTCCTGTGAGCAAAAGGTGGGGATCAGGGCCCAATGATAGTCAAGTAATGGGCCACATGACCCTTTGTGAACAATAGAGCTAATCAAGGCACTAACGACCTATTGTTTGGCTGATGGTCCTCTGTTGCATATGACCAACCTGTTTGTCCACCATGTGGAGGCGGAGCTTATAAGGCTGAGTTCACCTGAAACTTCTCAGGCTGAAGAAGTCTGGAGGAGAGACGAAACGTTTCATTAAAGAACAACCCGTCCAGAGGACCTACATATTTTTCTTTTTGAATTAAAAGACTATTTCCCGAGGATTTTGTCATTATTTACAGGCACAGATAATGGCAGGAGCGGCTAGAGGTTCTCAAACTGTGGTCCCAGGACCCCCAGGGGTTCTTAAAAGATTTCAATAAATTGTTAATGTGGAACAATGAACTAGTAAAACAAACATATTAAGCCAAACAAATAATAATATTCCCACAGTATTTAGGTTTTAAAATGACAGTAAATTATTTTTAAAACGGCATGGGGTTTATGAGGGGGTCCCTGGAAATTTTTCACCCTTGTAAGTGGTCCCCAGACGGCTCTTCACAGAGGCAGTGTTTGCGATGCAGCCTGAGGAAGACTGAGCAGGAATGTTTTTCAATCAATGTTTCTTGCTGAATAATCATGCATTAGATTAAATTAGTTTTAAGATGACACCACTTTGGTGTTGTCAAGCCCTAAACTCAGAATGTCACCATGAATGTTTCAGAGATTTCTCTGCTTTGAAACACCTGATTTAAAGGAATAAATGATTAACTCATGTTTAAGGCAGAAATCAGCTCCTGGAGCTCTGATCGGACATCAACGGCCGACTTCAGCAGGTAAATCATGCAAACGTTTGGGTTGCTCTGTCACATGTTCATCCTGAACTCACTGCTGAGGCCATGCAAATATCACTCCCCTTTCCAAACGCCTACCTTTGGGAATCATCTTTTTCCACTTCGACTTCAATGAACTTCAATTCGTCTCATTTACAAGCGGAAGATCCTAGAGTCACTAGACTAAACAGTGACACTGATGGTCAAAGTGACACATTTTTGTTTGCAGAAGGCTCAAACTGTGCTGAATTAAATGAAACAAAAAGCAAACATGCCTTCAAACAACGTAACTTGCAACCCAGTGGATGAGCTCTAATCTAATCATACATAACGGACAAAATACACTCACTGCACTATGAAATCTGAAATACTGGAAATACTAGAAAAATACTGTAAATGTAAATCAAAAATAAAATCAGAGAACAAGAAATTAAGCCAATAAAAATAAAACTTACTGATAATCACCTCCTCCATCCATGCTGGTAAAGAAGAACACAGACGCTGCACCAAAGGCCTGCAGACTGATTGATAAACAATCAATAAACAGGTGCTTCAGTGACTTTATACTGACCGCTTCTAATAGGTAGGTGTAGTAGTAGGTGTAGTAGTAGGTGTAGTAGTAGGTGTAGTAGTAGGTGTAGTAGTAGGTGTAGTAGTAGGTGCAGTAGTACTAGTAGGTGGTTTCTGTTTGGGTACCAATGCTAAAACAACAGTTTGGACTGTCCTGATGCATCTCAATAATCCAGTTGGAAAAATTTACAAAGGAAATGTTGAGTAGGTCCTCTGGATGAGTTCTTCCTTCCCATTATGTCAATGGATAAAGTTTTAACTGGTTTTTCATCTTGTTAATATTTTCAAACATGTAAATAAAAGTTGGTTAAATCTAATTAATTGTGAATTGATTAAAGATTAAAACTATATAAACACTATTCAAATGTCATCAGGTTAACACAAAAGGTTTGAGAACTGCTGCTCCAAACTCACTCAAAGAACTATCCACAACAGGTAAGATATTAAATGTTTACAACCTTTCCACATAACCCTTCTTCATGAGAATACAGAACTATCCCTTTAACGGCAGCTGGCCACACCTGAGCAGCTGCTGTGGTTCAGAGGCTTAAATTACACGTCTGGGGAAATAACCGCCTCAGGAAATTCAGCTGACAGGAAGTGACCGCTGCTCTTCAGAGGACATCTATCTGTAGTCTGCCATCTGTTAGCAAAATATCTCATGAACCACTGAGAATGTTTAACTTTTGGAGTTGATCCAGTTTAAAATGAGCATCACATTTAATCAAACAAAGAATATAATAGCAGCAGCTCAAACAGTTCAAACACATTTACATTCAAGATACTCGTCAAAATAAGAGTTTTGTTTATAAAAAAGTGAATCGCAATTTATCATTTAGAAGAATGTTGATGTATTTTGTAATTTCAGGTGGTTGCTGCGTTTGGTGCACATCGTTCAAACACTTTCAGTCTTATTAAATCACGTGCACGGACCGTGCACACCCAGTTTGGGTGGTCTTGAGTTTGTTTCAAGTGACTTTGGCTCTTTTTATCTAATCTTCATGGAGCTTTAAGGTTATGGTACCCCACCCTGCAGTAAAAAAATTAAACCATGCACCACCGTTACACTGCTTTGACAAAAAGACACGTTTTACACAATTATTTAATAAATCCATATTTCTAATTAGATGTTTTCTGTGTTCTATACATCGTTTTACCAGATTTGTCTTAGACTTTTATAGTGTATGAATGTATTTTTGATCTTTTTTCTTATCACTTGAAATTAAAGGAGCTGTATAAATAAACTTTACCTCCTTATTTAAAACATTTAATCTTTGCTGTAGGCTGAGTCTGAATGGCAGAACGATCATTTGGAGTTTTTAGCTGTTTTATAAGTAAAACAGACTAAACTTTGTGGCTCTATTGTTAACATTTAATGGTAATTTTACATCTGAATTATTAAGAGTGAACATAAAAATTGCAACGGTTTCTTGACTTTGGTCCGACGTAGAAACAGTTATCTAAACATTTATTAAGTTTTTAATAATTCTAGTAGTTAATGCTATTTTCCTAAAATTTCCGAAATTTCTTAATTAAATTTTCCATGGGGTAAAACAGCACTTTGACCTCGGCTCAGTATCTTTTCCTCAAACGTGTTAAAATGGCTGAAGTTGGCTGAATGAACCTGTGAACAGGTTCAAGAGCACAAAGCTGTTCTAATCCTTGACTTATTGCTGTCATTTTGTCACAGATTAGCATAAAACTGGACAATAAAACAGGTCTTTTCTGATAAAGCATCAATAAAGAAGGAAAATGTTAATCAAATCTGCAACACCTTGTTAACAGCATCATGTCACATCATGTAATGAATGTAATGAATATTGTTGCTTTGAATTCTTCTTCTCTGACAAAAAAAAAATTTTGAAATCAAAAAATGAAATTCCAAACCAAAAGAAAATCTGGTATAACATACACACAACACCAATTAGTTCTTTATTATCTTGTCGTGATCTAATTATTTACACAAAATTATAGTTAAAAACATATATTTACAAATTTACAATTAAATAAATAGTTCCTGAATATTTACAAGTGCACACAATCATTTCATTTTAGTTATGAAGTCCCAAACCTCAGCAGATTTAAAGATTCAATGACCAAACAGTTCTACACAATATACTGTATTTCACTTCAAAAATGCTTTTTATTGCATTCTGCTATGAAAAGAACACAATCACGAAATTTCCTATCTGTGTGTGACTGTTAGCAAAATATTTCAAGCACCGCTAGATGGATTACAATGAAACTGTTAGAAAGTAATTACTGGTTGTACATCTACAACTGATTAACTCTGGGAGTCTGCAGGATTCAAGATGGCCGCCACAGTTAATCAAACCTAGCAAACACAAAAGTAGCTATAATTCAGTTGACTTTTCAGACTTCAAGGTAAAACTTGGTGTTATTGTAGCCGAGAATAATCCTCATTAAATTTTCCGAGCACTATCAGACCAGACATCATCTTCTTTTAAAACTTTGGCTTGCAAAGTTATCTAACTAAAGCTATATGAATTGTTGTTTGAGTTGACGTTTTTATTTTTATTTATATTTTGTAAATTATGCTTTGTTTGAATATATTCTGGAAATAAAAAGGGGCAGACATTATAAGACTTATTCTTCTTCTGCTAAATTTCATTTGATTTTGATTTTGATTTGTGTATTGTTTTTGTTTTCTATGGTATATGGTTATTTTTTTTAATGAAATGAATACATTTTTTGAATAAAAAAAACAGCAACACCAAACAATACGCATTTCCCTTAAAAAACGTTAAGTTCGTAGAACCTGTTTGGTCCCTTGTGCCACGCCTTGAAGATCAGTGTTGAAGAAATTTGATTTAATAGAGTTAAATAAAAATAAAATACACACAGAGCAGGTGTGTAAAATGTCACAGGGGCCCTGCTGGTTTTCTAATCTGTTTTCATTTTCTTAGGTTTGTCACAATTTCAACATATACTGTGAGCTGCCAGGGCTTTTAAATTGGATAAGTTTGGCCTGTTGTAACAAGTGCATCAACAAGAAAAAACCGTCGTCACTCACATTCCTGAAAGATGACCTGAACCCATAAAAAAGGGTGTATTTACTGTTGTTTTCTAACAGCTCCACCTTTGACTTATTAGCCGTCAGAACAAACACGTGATCAAACACCGAACTGAAGAAGTGAAATATTTGACTACAGCACAATGTGGTTTTAAGCGCATGAGAAAATTAGGTTTTCTGTGCAAATCTAATCACTTCATCTTGACGTGTGTTTGTTGACCTCATCGTCCTAATGAGTGACTTTGTGAAGAACAAACCACAGCAGGAGCAGATTTAACAGGAGAGAAGTAAACTGTCCTCTCTGAACGCTCTTATATTTCAATAACAGGAGGTGGAACGTACGAGAGAAAGTTTATGATGCGTGTGGGCAAGCCCAGCTTGGAAATGACTCCGTGTGCTCTTGAACCGAGAGTCCTCCTCAAAGCCACTCTGCTGAGCTGCTGCAGACTGAGAGGAGTGTCTAAAACAAAACACAGAGGAAAATCCCACCATTTGTATATTTACTGCTGCTCCCACACACAGTGGCAGGACACAAACTGTGCACACTTACTTTCAAAGAACTCCAGGCAGAGGTAAGAGGCAGAGCCCACGCTGGTGTAGTGGATGGGTTTCTTGTTGAGGTTATCTCTAGCGAAGACGTTGCCCCCAAACTCCACAAGAAGCTCTATCAGACCTGTGTTCTTCACTTTAGCTGCGTGGTGAAGAGCCGTCTCGTGGAGCTTGGCAGCGTTCACATTTGCCCCTAAAAAAATACAATCACAAAACATTTTCCATGATATTTTTTTTCCTCAGAATTGAGTGATTCCATTTTTTTTCCTGGTCAATAAAAGTAACATTCACTTGACTTCCACAATGTTTTCTCTTCATTTCTTTGAGTGTTCCTGAAAGCCAACAAGTTGCAGTTTGGAATGACCTTATTATTGTTTCATGTTTTTGATCCGAGTTTGTTTTACAGAATGAAATGTCTGAACGAGTGCTCATCCAAGACTGGTGATTCCACACTTTTTGCCAGTGGTTGTATGTCCGAATAAACAGGAATCCAACTGGATTTCTTCTTAAAGGGATCCACGATTAGTTGTAACATTAAACTTTATTTGATAAACATTTATTTTAAGTGTAAAATAAAAACTGTAAAAATACTGTAGGCTGTTTAGTTTTCAAATTTTTTCAATTTACTGTATATTTTAACACGGACGGAGCCATTTTATTTACACGCAAAGCCTTCTGGGTAAATGATGACATCAACTAGGTCATTGGTGCGAGGCTTCTAGTGAGCTATATCCACCCTGAAGGTTAATCTTGGACAATATCTGACGATTGACTCTTAAATGAAACCAAAGAGCGTTGACAGAGAGGAGAAGGTAGAAATGACTCAGCCTGTAACTGAAAATATGGATGGAGGACAACAGAGCTGCTTCATGGAAGAAGAACCTCAGCCTGTTAGCCTTCGCGCTAGCGCCAACGCTATATTGCCTTATATGTATTAGCTCGGCGCTAGTACGACAAACAATCTAAACTGAGGTCCTCCATCCATATTTTCAGTTGCAGGCTGAGTCATTTTTGCATTCCCCTCTCTGTCATGTGGATGGAGGACCTCAGTGACGAGAGGAGAATGTGTAGCGCTGAGCTAATACATATTTATGGTGATAGCGTTGGGGCTAACGCTAAAGCTAACAGACTAAGCTGAGGTTCTTCTTCCATGAAGCAGCTCTGTTGTCCTCCATCTATATTTTCAGTTACAGGCTGAGTCATTTCTACCTTCTCCTCTCTGTCAACGCTCTCTGGTTTCATTTAAGACTCAATCGTCAGATATTGTCCAAGATTAACCTCCAGGGTGGATATAGCTCGCTAGCAGCCTCGCACCAATGACCTAGTTGAAGTCATCATTTACCCAGAATGCTTTGCATGTAAATAAAATGGCTCTGTCCGTGTAATATATTTTTAAACTTTTAGTTTAAAAATTATAAAAACTGAACATCCTACAGTATTTTTACAGTCTTTATTTTACAGTTAAAATATATGTTTATCATATAAAGTCTAATGTTAAAACTAATCAGGGATCCCTTTAAAGCTTTATTTTCAATCTTCTGACTCCAATCAGGTTCACAGTACAGCATACAGGCCTCAGCGTAAGACCATGGGCTGAAAACAGTACAAAAACCCAGGAGGCCTGCTCTGAAGCAAAGACTCTACAATACTGACAACTTCTTCTACTATAAAAATGAATTGAGCTGATAATGTACATCTCTTCCTGGTTACACCTCTGAAGGTGTTACCTTTTACATCAGACGTAGAACGTAACTCAATTTTGTTTAGGCTAAAAGAAAGAACACATGATTAGACACAGCAACTTTTTGTCTGCTTTAAAGGAGACATATCATGCTAAATGCACTTTTTTGCATTTACAAACTATTTTTTGTGCAGTTATAGTGTCTAGGAGTGTAGAAAACATTAATTTATTCTGTCCAGTTAGTGCAAAGATATTTTTATATTTTTTTATGGGTCAAATTTTTCAGTTTGTTCAAAATCTGCAGTTGCTTATTTCGTTTCATTGTTTATTTCATCGCACTTTTTTCGTTGGAACTACCATTTATGGTAATGTATTTCAGGCCAACTGGATTTCATAGTCCGCCATTTTTTTCATCGCTGTGTGATTTGGTAGTTCATAGCATCATGCCGAATATGCAAGTTCAGAAGTCAAAATGTTCTGTTCTGGGGTGTGTGAACTCACATTATTATCTACATAGACTACCAGCATCAGAGTAGAGCTTCTTCAAAGTGCCTGGCTAAGTTTTATTTTTCAAGGAAATGGACCCACAACAGGGCGGAAAGTGCTTGTGGACAACACAGGATGAATATTACAACAACAAGGGTGAGTTATGAACTGTAAATGTGTTTAACTGTCTAATTTAGCTGTTTCTACCCTCTGTGTCGGAATATGAGGGGAGAAAGAACAGCTGTGTTTAAGTTTCTTTACCGAACGGGTGCTCAGCACCATGTTTTACTTTCACTTACGCCCCGCACTGTAATCAGCGTGTCCGTGTTGTTTTTCTTTTTAAAAATGCTGGAGCATTTCAAACTGTGATCTAAAGTTAACGTCAGTTGTTTTAAATGTATTTTTTGCCTGGTGTTAAAAACGGGAGCAGCAGAATGAGGCAGAGAAGCTGTGAGCGCTGTGTGTGTGAAGTCCTCATAAGGATAGCAACATGTGACCTTTAATCCGTAAAAAAATATCTCCAGTTCTCCAATGAGTGTATCTACTCTACTACCTCTTGCTGCTGATCAGTCTGAAGTGGGTCAACCTTAATCCAAGACTCTGTGATGGCCTTTTTATATGAAATCATTAGAATTTTAAAAAGTTGTTTTACTTTTGGATCACCAAGCCAGGTAGTAGACCCAACAAGAAAATCTTGAGATCTTTAGGGATAATGTAAACCAATATCCTTCCAGTGATTAGACAGACACTGTCCCAGAAGTGTTCAAAATACAGTATGAGTGATCGGTGTTCTGATGTCCACACTGTCTCTAACATTGCTCTTGTTGTTCTACTACCATTTGTTTATTGATGAGGTGTAATAAAAAATCTGACAAGACTCTTCCATCCAAATTCCCTCCATCGTTTAGAACTAGTGAGCATCTGTTGTGTTCCAGTACAGGTTTTGAGTCCCAATTTTTCCATGTAAACAAACAAAACTTTGTCCATTAAAAATGAATGAAAATACACATTATTTAATCCAGGTGTTGACTCTTATTGACTCATGTAGCTCTTACAGTGTACACTGAACAAAAATGCTCTCATTCACACAGGTGGAGGTCTATCAAGATGCTGATTAGACAGCATGGGTGTGCCTTAGGCTGGCCATAATAAAAGGCCACCTTTAAAATGTGCAGTTTTTAATCACAGAGCACAATCCCACGAATGTAGCAGGTTTTGAAGGACTGTGCAATTTGTCATGCTGACAGCATGAATGTCCACCATGTTTGTGAAATTAATGTTTGTTTCTCTACCATAAGCTGTCTCTAAAAGGCTTTACAACTACAGTCTATGTGTAACCAAACCACATGGAGAGGGAATCGAACCTGGGACTTTACGGTCCCAAGTCGGCTACTCTACCACTGTTACACAATAACTTGCTCTACAATATATACAGTCTATGATCTCAAGTGATAAAACAGGTGACAAGGAGCAAACTGCTGCAAGCCGTGTCAGGAAAGACACAAATCACCCCGACTCCCAGCCATGAGTGTTAGACCTCATTGCATCAAACATAAATTGTTAAAAGCAGTGCATGAATCAGACCCAAAATGAAACCAAGAATGAATTTCTTAATTTATTTTAAGGGTCACTATCAAGTGAAATAGGGCGAATAATGTTTAATAAAGCACAAAATGTAGTTTGTTTATTTGGAAATGCTGATTTCAGATTGTGCAGCGTTCTGACACAAAAACATGTTAACTGTAGAAACTCAACGGGACATTTGCTCCAGCACATAACTGGTGTTTTGTTGTTGTTGTTTTTTTTTTTGTTTTTTTTTTTTTGTGAATACAAGGCAGGAACAGAGGAGACAGCAGGGGCAGATGATGGCATAAAGTTGGAGCTTAAACCAGACACTGCATTTTTAGTGACTCTAGGCCCAAAGTGATCAAATCCTCCACCAAGGCTAGATTGTGCAACTTCAACAAAACTTTCATAAATACACGCCAAAACATTATGTTTATTTTTCCCACACTCTGAACAACCATCATGTTCATTAAACTGTTTTTTTAAAGCCTCTAACGTTCAGAAGCTGGGCCTCGACTCACCTGCAATGAGGAGGACTTTGGCGCAGTCGTAATGCTGTCGAGCGCAGGCCACGTGAAGCGGTGTGCCGTAGTGACAGTCATGAGCTTCCATGAAAGCTCCTCTATTGATCATCAGCTGAACACAGTCTGAATTACCTAATGTTAAAACAAAGCAGAGTGATCTATGGAAACGTGGTGTGTTGTGAAGTTAATATCAGCGAAAAGTGATGTTCTGTCCATGAGAATCAAAACAAGCAGCTTCTGCTTGCACCTCTTTGACTTATTAAGATCTAATGAAACATAAACTTGGCACAAAATGTAAGGAATATGTGTTTGATAGATCACAACGCTTCTTGGCAATAAATCTTATAATGGGACCAGAAGCTCAAAAGAAGTGTCAAAAACAACAACAACAATAAAAACAACAACAACAACGAAGTAAGCTTTTTTGCAGAGAAGATTTGTCAATTTTTTCATGTGCATAACCCTCTCAGCTCTACTGCTCACCCCACAAATGCATGTTCCTTACAAATGTGGCGCCATTTAAAAAAATTAACAGGCTTTTCAGTGGTATAAGACTTATTGCAAAGAAGCATTGTTACAACAAAGAAATAATCTACCAAAACAGATGTCCTTACTTTTTGTGCTAAGTATAGAATTTTATATAACCCGTGCCTAGGGTTGGGCAATATTAGCAAAAAAATTAATCATGATTAATTGTGGTATTTAGCCGACAACGATTAATTTGACGATTAATCCCCTGGAGTCCCTGGACAACTTTTATGTCCTGGTCACATGACTAATTTAGTGGGAAAGATTTGCTCTTCATAAAAATCTTTTCCAAATTGGGTCAAAATCACAGACTTCAGGCTATACATCAAATTTTGAATTGTGTTGATAGATAAATAAATTACAGAACTTTTTTTTAATGTTAATCATATTTGAAGCAGAGAGGAGCACTGAGTGGACTCTGCCTGGTGGCATTAATCGTATTAATCGTCAAATGCCAAAAAAAAAACGAATTAATGTTTTTCTGACGATTAATTGCACACAATACGATTATGCCCAACCCTACTCGTGCAGCAAATAACATAAGAAGTTATTTTGGAAACATTATTTTACTAAGAAATATTCCCATCTCTGTGCAATGTGAAATTGAGTCTAATTTGCCTGATTGTCAGTCACTGCCAAAGGAAAGAGGGCAGTGATGTTTTCGCTTGTAGGTGTGTGTTAAAGGTGCACCGATTGCAGTTTTCTGGCTGATCACCGATCTTCTAATAAGCCTGACCTGCTGATACCAATTTATTTTTATAACAGACTCAGGTTTTATAAGGTCACAATACACCTTCAATGTTCCAGTCTTATTTTACTGAAAACCATTGAACAATACAAACTTGTGTTGGACAACATCCCTCCCTCATGGCACGCTCTCCTCTGAAATCCTACCTAAAAGCCTGGCTGTGATCGAGCACTGCTATCATTTTCTGAGCTGAGCATTGACTTTTGTACAATACAAAAATGTGGTACAGCTTGTATCCATTAACAGAAGCAGGACCTGCAGATAACAGCAGCAGGCAATAAGACGTACCTCCCATGCAGGCCTCATGAAGAGGGGAGAAGGTAAACAGTGGAGGGTTGACAGTTGCACCATACTCCAACAGCAGTTTGACACAATCCAGGCTCCCAGCTGCACAGGCATCACACAGCGGAGTGCTGCCGTCGATGTTACGAGCATCCACCTGTTGGACAGGGTCATTAGTGACACAGCACTTTAAGAAAGCCCCAAGCTTTCACCAGACTCCCGACGTGAAACTGACCTGCGCACCAGCGTCCAGCAGCAGTCTGACACACTGGGTCTGACCCTGAATACACGCCTCGTGCAGCGGGGTGATGGAGTCCACAGCCACGATGTTGACAGCGGCCCCTGCTTGGATCAGCTGCTGCAGCTGGAGGGCTCTGCCCTGAGCAGCAGCCTCATGGACCGCTGACCGGTCTGTCCAGAATCCAAGGCCATGAGCTGGGAAACAGAAACAGAAAACTGACCTTCTGTTCATAATGACTGACAGGTTGGGTTCAATTATTATCTAAAAGGCTCATATTTCAGACTGTTTATAATGTTGATTTAAAGGCACAGTTAAGTAAATGATGCTGTATTCACCTGCACAACAGGTAAACTATCTTAAATCATTGCAGAACTGATAAAGTTGTACTAGTAAATAAGGCATCCTGGATCATGTTTGCCAACATTCAGATGATGTTAGCTAACTGCTAACCAAGCTACGTTATAATCATGCTCAAATCAAGTTTGCAACAAATGAAAAGCTAACAGCAACTCTTAACTGTTTCCATCAGTGCTGTCTAATCATTTGACGAAGCTTTTTATAAACTGGTATCTTGGTTTAGTCACGCTGTAAGCTTCTTACCGATTTCTCCGTACAGGGACGGTCTGGTTCGCGTGATCTCCATTATTTCATGGTTTCGTTTTCCTCCCGGTTCCCCAGATTAATTTAGGTCCCAGATTATTGTGTACTCTGCTCTGAAGCAAAACACTAACAACTGTAAGGACCGCATTATTATTAATGTTGCAAACCAAGCTGGAGAGCCCGAAGCAGAGAGGAGTTCAGAGCTGCAGAGCTTCAGGCTGGCAGTGAGGGATTCTGGGAAATGTAGGCACAGCGCAGGGCTCCTAGCCAACATGTTTTATAAAGTGGTTGTTTTATAAACGAATGGTAGAAATTCCACAGGTTATTTATTTCCATGTTTTATTGTTTAATTGCAAACACAATAAATA